ATGTAACACACATACACACACATAAACACACACATACACACACATACACACACCTACACACACCTACACACACATACATACACACACACATACACACACACACACAGCAATTAAATAAATAAATAAATGGACAGATAAAAATAAATAATATTTAATAGTAGTGATAATCATGTTAAAGGTTTTAACTGAGCCAGTCACACAAGGGATTTTTAACAGGTCAAAGAGCTAATCAGTTGAAACACAAATATAAGCTAGAAAGGTCAACGTAGGGCAAGTCAACATTCATCTCCTCAATTTCAAGGATTTTCAAAAGCAGGTGAGTTAGCTTACGTTTAAAAGGTGCTTTCCTTAGCTTACGAAGTTCAGGGAGGATGCCATTCCATATTTTCGCACCAACTCTAGAAAAGGAAAACAATTGATCAGTTGTTTTCGCCTGTTTCATATAAAAGCTTCCAGCTAATGAGAAACGAGCAGAGTTGGAATGAACCTGTTCATAGTGAGTAAAAACTTCAGAAATATTGAGAGGAGCACAATGCTTTTTGATGTCATGTAACAGAGAGGCAACCAATTTGAAGTAAAGCATTTTTATCGGTAGAATTCCCGAACGACCAAAAAGAGGCACTGTGAGATGTATAATCGGAAAAATGCATTAGACGAAGAACCCGCTTTTGTAAAATAACGATTTTCTTTAGATGAGTATTTGCGGCTTGGGCCCATGCAAGCAACGAGACCATAGGAAATATACGGTTCGATGAGCGAGAGGTAAATGTTTATAAGAGTAGTGAGCGGTACCAAGTGTCTCAGCCTTGCAATAATACCGATACCTTTGCTTATTTTCGTGGAAATCTAGTCAATATGGTGCTTCCAGGGGAGATTACCGTCAATTAGAAGACCTAGCTATTTAACATATGTCTTACGTTCGAGAGATACCAAATGCTCCGAGTTATTATGAAGTATTTTCAGGTTTACTTCTCGGTATAGTTTGTGTTGATAAGGATGAAAAATAACGAAATTAGATTTAGATACGTTAAGAGATAATTCAGCCATTCACACATTTTTAATAACTCTTCATTGACGACAACCTCAAGTTTGTTTAGACCTTTTTCTGCATATAGTAAATTGGTAGATTGTAGTAAATTAGTAGATCGTAGTAGGATACGTATACTACAAGACTGGCTGACTCATCCTAAATAAAACTTTCACATTGAATATCTCGCCTGAGTGTGGTCAGAATGTAGGACCATTTGTAGTCTGCTAAATACCGCCCAGTATGAGCATGCGCACCGATCAATC